TGGTCATTTGGGGGTCTCAGTCTATATTCACCAGAGATGGTTCTAAGGCTGAGATCACCAATCTAATTTCACTTTTCTAGGCATCAGTCTGGAAGGAAGTATGGTCCCTAACGTAAAGACCCCTGCTTTATTTAGTAAGCCATGTAATCCTCTTGTGTAACATGAGCAATAATATCACATTACATACACTGTAACTAACAAATTACCAAGATTGATCTTGTAAATCCATAGAGAGAATGACCATTTACTACCCCCCTGTAAAGAATTTGTATAATCCAAGCTATAGTTCCTAGCACAGAAGTAGAAAAAAACATCATTAAGCAATTACTACAAACATCGTTTTGATTTCAGCGGAGGTTGCTCTTTTTTAACCTGGTTTTTCAGTCCCAACTTAGCCAAAGACCACTAATAAGTGCAGACAACCTCTTGTAAAAACTTAAGTGTTAACTTGCTATACAGCTGCTAGGAAGAAAAATTCTTTGTGATTTCCAATACATGTTTTAATTTTGTAGGTATTTTAAATGGACAATAATGCCTTGCAGCCTGGAAAGAAGAGTGATGAACAGTGCCATCTGTATTCTCCATTCTGTATTTAAAAAGAACGTGCTTCTGAGTCATATGTTGGAAAGATGGTTCAGGTTTTATATTTTTTGTGTTCGTATGGTAGAAACCGATGTTAGTACAACAGTGTTTGGGAAGATAAGCTCTAATAGTACTTTGAATTCTCAGCTGGGCCCAAAATCAAGCTCAAAACAGAACACACTGTGGGTAAGAGAAGAAACATCAGCAACCAAAATAAATCTTTCAGACAGAGATATGTGCAAGTATCTGTGCAGTTTCACAGCCCTTTGGTTGCCACAGCCCACCCATTAACTCTGTCACCTGCCAGCAGTGTTTGCAGCAGGTAAATGTGGGCTGCTGAGTAAGAACTAACCCAACACACCACGCCGCTTCCTCGGACTTTCAATTCCCTCTTTCTTCTCCTTCACAGGGGCATCAAAGTGGGTCTCTGCACATTTGGAGGCAAAACATCCCAGAGCTGAGCACTGCAGAAACAGGTTCATGTATTTAGACACTGAAAGATTTTCCTGGGTTGTCAGAACCATGGGGTGTCCTGCCTGGATTGTCCCATCTATATTGAACAAACCTATGCTGAGAAGTTATTGCATATGCCAGAGCAGGTGATTGGAACAACAATTCTCCCTGCATTTCTGTGGGAGACTGTTCAGTGCAGGACTGCCTTTTGCTGCTGTTTCCCTACGAGAAAGCGCCAGGAAAGGCCAAGATGGTAAGCTATCACACCATTTTACACTCCTTGATGATATACTTTCATCAGCAGAAGCCTCTAGCGTGCATTTGCCCAAGTTCTCTTGTTTGAACTGATATAATGCTGCTGATAGGGCAGAATGGGTCTTTGGGATAAAAATGTGCAACTTCAGGTTAGTAGTTTCTTATCAAAAGCCAGTGACCTTTATTATTTTGCAGCAGCAGTTTTGCAGGTAGATAGGTAAGGATAAACTCGGATGCTTTTTGAATTAATATAAAAAGTTAACATTTTTTAAAGTTTTGATAGTAGACTAAAACAACTCAAAACCAGTAATTTGGTTCATGGTTAAATTCTATTTTCTACCCTTATCTCTGGCTAAGGGACGGCTCCTCTGCACAGTTCAGTTACGGCCCCCGAGTGGGCCTGTACAGGAGAATAGCCTATTTCAGATGAATGAATGCTGGGGAAGAGAAATCTGGGGTTTGTTTCTGACTGCCACTGAACTCAGGCCAGTTGATTTGACCTCTCTGGGTGTTCATTCTTTCCCCATCCTTTTTCTTTTAATCTTTACATTCTTCAGGATATGGATTCTCTCCTGCTATGCATTAATATGGCCCCCAGCGCAATAGTTTCTCACATCTAATAGTAATATGCAAGTAGAAGTAAATACTGATTCTATTGCAGCCAAATTCCCAGTGGCACAAAGAGACTACTTTCTTTGCCCACCCCACCTACCCTAACTCTGGACTTTTAGCTACTATAAACACCTCTCCTGTACCTACATCTCAGCATGGAGGTGGCAAGTGGTTACCGTTTTTCTTGCAAGACACAATATATTTTCTAACCCTGTACTTGCTCTTTTGGAATTGCCAAAATGGGTAAAAGTTTGCAAACCTCTAGTGGAACGTGTTCAGTATTAAAAAAAATAATAATAATAAAATACATAAAAATAAAAACCAAAATTGCTCTTAAGAGAATAGTGGACAGGTTTAGACAGGGAGTGCTGATCTGACAAGGCAGAGCTGCGTGTGAATTTGCTGTCTCACACCATCCTAGCAACACTGTCACTCCTGTCAGTGATAATATAGCCAAGGACAAGGTTTGGAGAGGGAAGGTGCACATTTCCTAGGTCTTTAAGCTTAGCTAGTTGGTTGGCAGTTGTGAGATCCTGTTAAACTCTGAGATGCAAAATACAGTTGTTTTCAAAATCCATTGCCAGTGGCGGTGACAGATGCTTTTTGGAATGCCACCCAGTGAGCTGTGAAACTCATGTAGTCAAGTACTTGTCCACTTGTCCCTACTTCATGTGTTATGGGAATATGTTTACACTCACTGTCTTGAACTGTTTTGGGGTGTTTTTTTCAGGTGGATGAAGTGTTTTACAGATGCAGCATTGTACACACTGCAGAAAGGTGGTATGTTGAAGTTTATGCCCACACAGTGGGCAGCTCTTCCTTATTTTGTCCGGGGATTCTTCTCCAATGTTAACTATTTGTGGGGCACGGATTTAGGTATGGAACTTAAGTTGTCAGACTCTAGTAACATAAACATTATGGAGCTGACATCCCCAGCCTTGGTCTTAAGAGAGGTCTGAGGGATCATTTTAATCACAGAGAGGCAGTTACTTCACCACCATTTGGTGAGTCTTCCACATCCCCTGTTGGTGGGGCATCCATCTCTTCTGGCTGAGGTCTATGCCCTAACATGGTCTGCTGTGGCAGGGCTCACATTTCTTATGTAGGCTAAGCAGCTGGTCTTAACTACACCTGGGGTTTGTGTGAACCCCAGCTGCGCATGGTGTCTGCAATGGATCAGCATCCCAATGCTTCCTCTTCCTGGTAGCTTTGTACCTGAATACTGGCAGAGAATGTATTTTTCCTCCCATGGTAATTCCTCCTATTTTTCTACTCTAACAATTGTTATGATTATTTTGGGGTTTTGTCTTATTTTTTATTGCATTAAGAGAAAACGTGTAGACAGGGGTACCCCTGTGTAGACAGGGGTTTATTTGGAATGGTTCAGGAAAAACTTAAATCACGATGTACTATGAAGTTGGTGAATAGTCTAAATTGCCCCATTCCAGAGAAATTATTTTGTGTTAATGAAACACAGACCAGTTATTCTATAGCTGTATTTTATCTCACATTTCTAGCAGGCCATTCTGTTCGAAAACCTCAAATCGTGCACCAAGATGAAAACTCTGCAGGTGATGGGTCTCCTCAGAAGAGGCATTTGTTTTGTTTCTTTGTCTGTATTTTGCAGGTTTCCTTTGCAGCATCCTGTGCTACAGTCTCCTTTTCAGCAGCCTTTCAAGGTAATATTTAAAGAGCTCTTGGGAGCTTTTGGTATCAAAGTAAACCCCAAAACTCAAGACTATTGTCACAGTGGGATGTATTGGGGAGCTACCAAATGAGGGAGCTGAGACCACCAGATTGTCCTTGGAGCAAGACCTGATGGAAGGAGGACGATTGTGCTGGTAGGTGGTTTCATGAGTGAGGCAGTATGCTCTAGAAGGGCTCTAACACACAGCATGTTTCCTCACCTCCAAGGAAGATCCCTGTGGAAACCTGGCACTAACTCTCCCTCGAGCCTCATCCCCCATATATCTTTTAAGAGAATTTGTTTCCCCCTATTGGCTCCCTTGTAACCAGAGTTCCACTCAGAAACTGAATTCAGGGGCTGGTTGGTTCCTACATTTTTATGGGGTTTTTTTCTGTCACCCTGATATTTATCATAAGAGAAATGCAAGTCTAAGATTTCCTAGGTTTTGAGACTATTTTGTGTGCCAGTTCTCTTAGAGAACCGGAGAGAGAAAACTTATCTGATTAACAAATGTAAAATCCACGGATAAATAATAGCCTAATTCAGACATGAAATGTCCCTCTTGGAGTGTGCTGCACTCTTATCTGCTCTGTGCTTTGTGCCCAGTTGTGTGTGTGAATGGGTGCAGTGTCTGCTTCGTTACAGAGGTTTCTTAAGCACAAGATAGACTCAGATGTAGAGGTGAGACGTTACCTCCGCTTGGAGCATCAGTAACTCCAGTTCCTTCCCTCTGCCAGGCCATGGGGCAGGGTGGGTTGTAGGAGACCTCCGTGGTACAGGGTGACTGGCTCCTGTCCAGGCAGGGCTGATGGTGTTCTTGCAGTGCCATTTTCTCCTGGATGATCCATGGTGCCACAGTGTGGAGGTGAAGAGGTTCATATGCCCCATACATTGCTGAGGAATGTGTCCCACTGGCTGGCAGTTCTGTTGGCAGAGAGAAGGGATGCACAGGTAAAACTAAATAAAGGCTTTAAAAATCATCAGAAAAAAATAGGGTAGTATTCCTCTTTATGAGAAACTTGGGAAAAGTGAAAACAGGTCTTGTTAGGGAGATGATCTATAACAAAGGTGTACACTTAATTGTTAATCCTGTTAGCAAAAGGCAGTGCTACTGAACATGACATAATAATCTTGGCTAGCCTAGGAAGGCGATACATGAAGTATTGTGCCTGCATGAAATACCTTTATATTCATTAATAGCATCTGTTTCCATACTAGCTTAAGGCAGGGGATGATCAAACTCACATGTAAGGCACTGGTTGTCTGGGATGTAGGGAGGACCCTAGCACAAACACACACAAACACACACGCGTTGCAGCACAGGACAGCGGTGAGAAGGAAGCACTTCATTAGACAGAACCACCCTCCTTGTAGCAAACATTGTGTCCACCAGCAAGCTTTCTCTCTGCAGTATGGTTTTCCGTGTAGCAGCAGTGGTCTCTCTGACTACCATCCATTCCAGGGTGCTGCCGAACACACACATCTCTGGGCTCTTCAGCTGGGTGGACTACAGGACTATGTCTGCAAGAAATTTTGGGTATATATCTCAGACAAGACAAAAAAAAGGGTTTTGAATTGACAAATCAGTCCAAACCACTGAGGTTATAACTCCTTTTTTTCTTCTTCAAGCAGAACAGTAAAACAGACCTGTTATTGGCAGCTCATTAGTAGTGAGACAGAGGCAATATGTACCATGACATCAGAGTGCTGTTTGACCCACATCTATCATTTTGTTAGAGATCCATATTCTGGGCCTTTTCAAATGCCTATAAGACATGCAGAGTGTAGAACTCTGTGGCATAAATAAGATACAGATTTTCTACTTTTTGATGTGTTTAGCACATTTTTGTTACTTCCTTTAATACCACAGACCTTACATTCTTCAAGCATTAGGAGAACAAAAGGCTGACATGAGGTGGGGGGGAAAGTATTCAATAAAAAGTATCGTTCTGTTCACCTACTTAGCATTTAAAATATAACCTCTTTCTTAAAGGAAGATCGAATGAATACCACAGCTGAGTAACTTCAGATATAAAAAGTTCCTTCATTAAATCAGTTGTTCTTTAATTCATAATAGAACTTAAATAAAGAATGACTTATAGGCAGCTGTTTCTAATATTGAGTCCCCACCACACATGAAAGGAACATTATTCTTACAGCAGCCTCTCTACCCTTGGGTGTTATCAGCCGAACATGTTTTGAACCCACCTAATGCATTTGAGGTAGCTTGGGTTTATTTTTCTTTCAATAAAATAAATGGTTTTGTAATTAAATTTCTGCACTGACTGTGCTTAATGGCTACATTGACAAGTGCTAATGTATGGGAAGAGAATGAGTTTGAAATGAAACATGCTGTTTTCCAATCTGCAAGCAATTTTGCGCCGGGGCAATCAAAATCTTGTGCCAGTGAAACATTTTCATTAATCTGCTAGCGTAGCGCACACTGCCCACTCAGCAGCACAAGGACACTTATTTTTTTTAACAACAAAAATATCATGAAGTGAGCCGTTGTTTGAAACCATTTTGTGGTCTCTGGCAGCAGGGCCTGTGTGGAAATTCGCTGACTTTACACCATGAAATGTTGCAGCTGTCTCAAAAGGGACTGGCTGCTTCAATGTTTGAGTTCTTGGCAATAACTCAGCTTTCAAATCTGTCTCTTTTTTTTTTTCCCCTTAGCTAAATTTATTTTTGAATAAATCTTCTCATAGAAAATTGAGAGCAGCTATTACATATTTGGACTTCATTTATGAAAACCACTTCAAGTCATCAAGAAGTGCATCAATCCAGCTCTAATGTTTACAATACTTTCATGACTGGGAAACTAAACAATACTGTATTTCCCCCATTATCTTCATTTAGGTAGCGCTGCATTTAAACACGAATGTGACTTTTCTTTGTTTCATTACTTACTGCCAGACAAACAAAAAAGGAAACAAACCCTGCAGAGATTTGCTTCTGCGTCGCTGGCTGGGAGCTCCATGCAGGACCTGGCCACTAGAGGGTTGACTTCCCAGCAGCTGCTCTTCGCAGCCGGAATAGCAGAGCTGTTTTGTCAGGTAAAAAGGCTGAGGAAAAAGCAAGATGAAGCTGTAACACCTTAAATAGGCAAATAGAATTCAAGCTAGAAAAGAAAAGGGGTAAAAATGCCCAGAAGCCGACACTACTCGGGCATTTTTATTATTTTTGAGGGGTTTTTTTTCTTTTATCTTGTCACAATATGACATGGGCACAGTTATTTTCTGCCCCTGAGGAAAATATCTTAGAAGTAACCCAGAGCAAATTAACCCCTAGACAGCCTTTAACAGCAAGTACTTTAAGTCAGTTGGTATCTGGGATGATAGAGTTAGAGGATCCCACTGTTTTCTTCGCCATGTACTACTTCACTGGGTTCAAATCACTGCTTGGTATTTCAGCCCTTCTGCTGTGTGCAGTACTTGGAGTAAGAGAGCTAAAACAAACTAAAATGTTCCTCTTTTGAACAGAATAATGGAGAATGAAATATCGTCCCAGTGCAAACTTCTCCCATCCAGCAGGAAATTGTACCTCAGGGGATGGATCACTGCGAGACGAGACATTGCCAACAAAACGTCACGCGGTGAGAGCTGTGTGATGAAATGACAAGGATCAACCAATATCAGTGATGTTATAGCTTGTAATAATTATTCTCATGAGGCTGCTTCATCCATGCTAAATAAACAGAAGGTTTTCAGGCGAGAGTTGCAGTTTGTGTCAGAATCCATTAGCCAAGCCCTAAAGCCAGGAGAATGTACAGTATGGGAACTTGATGCATCTTTTCTATGTAAAGGGTGGTTATGTTTAAATAGGCTCAGGTTAGCTGGGTTTTTTTCATTCCTGGGTCTCCAACTTTGCATCTGTACTGCAGGATTGGGAAGTGGCATGGAGAACAGATTATTGCAGCCAGGTTCTCTGCACAAGGCACTAAGCAGAATCACAGTCAGATACCTCTTTCCCTCTGAAGTTTCTAGCAGAGGTGGAAAGGACAGTTCACTAGACTGTACACCTTAAATCCAGAGCTACACAAAATAGGCATTGAGGTAAACTAAGACATCACCTTCTGCTACTACAACTCAGCTACCTGATGAATTCTAAAGGAATTCAAAATGAATACTAGCTACTGAAGGATGGATTGATACACAGGTACAGGAAAGAGATGAAGCGCTGATTAAATGTAGCAGCAGTTTAGCAGTTGGACTGCAGACTCCAACAAGGATGTGGACACTTTTCCAACAGCAAGAGGATGCCCTCAGTCATTTCAGCAAGGGTGCAATGCCTGCTGCAAGCACTGGGGCTATTAGAGGCTGAGCAAGAGCCCTGGAGAATCACCTGTCTAAAGTGTTTGCTGAGACCAAAGGGGATGGACATTCTCCTCAGGAGCTGGCAGAAGAAATCAGTATGCAGTAATGCAGCAGATACATTTATCCAGCAGCAAACTGCACACGCAAAATATGTGAGGTGTGAAGGACAAGGAGGTCTGCAGGGCTGAATGGGGAGAGCACGGAAAGTGGAAGAGGTACCTCTGTGTGAGCAGGGAAACATGAAGGGAGTTAAGGATTCTCTTCAGGGCAGACTGTTTCCAGACAGAACAGTTCCTGTGCCTGTCACAAAGGAGGACTTGGTCTTTCTTTTGCTATGGCTGAAGAAGAGGAGTAGGGCATACCCATCTTGGTGGTAGAGCTACAGCAACTTTCGAGCACCAGGTTTACTTTAACCCCAAATGACACAGAACATATGTGCTAGCTGGGATATAAAACCAAAGAATACAACACACCCAGACACCATTAGGAAGGAGTATATTCTTGGCAACACAGAACGCATCTCAACAGGCACTTTGAACTTCTTTGTATGCACAGTTCAGACATTTCATACAACCAATAATTTCAATATAATCTCCCTATGCATTACCAATTAGGACGAAAGCACAAGAAGTCTACAGCAGCATTTTAAGGCACTACACATTGAGATTTGTTGACAATGATATTGCCATTAAGAGATGACAAATTCTGAAATATAATACAACTACAGTGGCTTAGACAGAAGCAGAGGTTTTCCTTTTAATGACAAAACTTTGATTTTATTGTTCTTAATACTAGCGTGTAGTTTTTTTCAGACTTCGTTTCATGCATCTGAGCATTGCATCCAAGCCACAGTGTGAAACATCTACAGTTACAAAGGGGATTGTGCAAAAGAAGTGCTAATTTCTAACAGTCCAGCTCTTGAACTAGTCGAAAACCAGCCTTGGAAACAGTTCTCCAAGAAAACTGAAGTTATCATGTAATGATGCCTGCAGGGGTTCCACAACTGTTGCATAGTTTAGAACAAATTTGGCACTTCTTGAGGTAAGTCCAGTAAAGAATATAAAACGATCACATCTGCCAATCTGCATGCCTGAGTGAGTGCTGCAGCGTGCTCTGGATTGGGTTTATGCCTCCCTTTAAGATCATAGCTCCCCCAAAAGAGAATTCAGTATAGCCCTTGGCAAAATTTAGTTTCATATCATATACTTATATATACCTGTGTACCACAGCAGACGTCTGAAGTAATCCTTATACTGGGTTGGTGTCTCTCTCACGGGTATATAATATACGACAATTATTAATGAATCTTGGACTGATTTTCCAGATTGTTACATCATCTTCTGTCACAAAATAGAAGTCCATAACATGAAAGATATGCTGCCATTGATTGCAAGAAGTTTAATACTCTAGAGATACTTACACGGGATCTGAAGAATCTGTGGTTATGAACAGTCATGTCCCACATGCTTTTTCTCTCCATGTAATAATGGTATATTTTCATAATTGGGCTCTTGGAAATCCACACATGTACAAGCAGTGTGTCCTCCACCTTTGCATTTGTATAATACTGTTTGAAGAGAACTATTCCTTTTAGAGATTCATTCTTCAGTAACTCTTGATCCCTTCCAGGTGAAGGAAATAGTTCTTCATGCTGCAGAGAGAGACTACGGTCTTTTTTACTTTCCTTCATTCACATAACCGGTGAGTCAGTTTGGTGCACTGATATCAATCCAATGAAGAAGTCAATTAAAGGGTTAAGCCATAGTTTTTTGTCACACTAGGAGAAACCTGTGAGATGCAATGATGTACAAGTCACTGGGCTTTCTCTGTATAAGTTAACAGAAGTAGACTAGATTTACACTTTCATATATATATGTGTATATGTGTATATATATATATATATAGTAGATACCAGCTAGTTATTTCAGCCTACCAACATGCCATTATTTTGTAAAAATGCAGTGTATGGACTGGCAGAATCATAGCATCGTTGTCCCAGATAATGACTTTGTTGTTTAAGTTTCAGCTCTGTTACAGTACAATTACATACAGTATCAATTAAGTTAATTTTCTCCTTTATGATTTTCATAACTCATTATTGGGAGGAGCAGAAATCTATCTCGTATATTTTGTTAGCTGTATGAATTTTCTCATTGCCAAAAGGGGGTAACTTTGCAGAAACACTTCTGTAGAAACTTATGGACAGAGTCCTCCAAGTTGCTAGGACAGCTAGGGAAAAAACAGATGCTTATTCAAAATCTAAAGAACGGAAGATTGAAATTGGCATCACGGGCTGGAGGCAAGAACTGACCTCTAAAATATTGAATGAAGGAGGTTTGGGGAAGATTGTAAACAGCCTTGAAAATGATTACAGCTGGAGAAAGTCAGAGAGGAATGTGAAGACAAAAACAATATAGCTAATGAGACCCTTAAAAAAGCTTCATGAAGTAAGCTTGTCTTCGGCAAAATTACTGGAAAGGATTTTACAGTGTTCCAAATAGAGAACTGGGGGGCATGGAGGAGAATAGCTGTGTGGGTGCACTGTATAAGGTTGCACCCCAGAGAATATTAGACCAACGCAGATATTAAAGTATGCAAGTAATTGCTGTCATTTTACTGGCGTTTTCTCTGCTCATTTTGAGATCAGATTTTCTTCTTGTCAAGTTACTTTCTTTGAGAAATTTCCTGCTCTGTCATGGTGTGTGCCATAATGGGCACACCACTTCCTAAGAGTCCTCAGAGCACTGCTCAGCAACTGGCTCAAAGTCAGGGAGTGAGAGAGGGCTCCAGGGTAGCCACTGGGACCTAAATATGCCATAGCTACAACATCAATAAGTGTCTCATTTCCAAAATGCTGTTACCCGAATATTGTGGCTCAATAGTCCAAGCAGCTGTGCTTCCCTTCGGCAGCAGGAAGCTGGCAGCTGAACTTATTTCCGCCTCCATCTCCCACTCAGGCATATTCTTAATGCAAAATCACTCCATTCGTTTTGGGGTATATCCCACAGAACTGTAATTCCAACCTCCTTAAAATTCAGTTTAGTTCTGGTGTATGGGAACAGTGCAATGCTATTTTGGGGAGTAGAAAGTGAATTATTTTGCAGGCCTGCCTAAGGATTCCTCCTGAATATAGTTTTCCATGCAGTTAGATCTGTATTCAGCAGTAATCATTCATGTAGGCTATGCTATAACTATTTGCTGCACATGTTGAATTTGAATGATGACTTACTGTTATTATACACTCATGTATATTCCTCTAGTTCCCAGAGGCCCTAGTCAGGACAAAGTTTAGCAAATGCCATACTAATGCATACAAAGGCAATCCCTTTCTCTGGGTCATAGAAGTCACAAAGAGGGAAAGTGAGAGACAGCCAGCATAGGTAGTACCATCACACGCAGATGTTATGCACATTCGCATCTTTTCCCTGGCCATGACAGATACATGAAATTAATGAGAACTATTCTAATCAGTCCCTTAAGATGTCATTACAGGCTCTTACAGGCACAGTAAAGCTTTAGGTAATAGATTTACTGTCTCTGAACTGGGGAAATCTGTTCTTTTCTACTATGGGAGAGGTTTGGATTGTAGAGAGAGCATTGAACTTTTAGGTAGCATTGTGATAAAATTCATTGCTAGTCCTTAAAAAAAGAAAAAAAGAGAGAGAACTTTTAGACATTCATTATTGCCTTTTGATATGCATACAGCACCACAGAGCCTAAAGTGCTATTCTGTCTCCACTCAGGTTTACTTTAGGTGTACAAAAATGACACAGCCAAAACTTGTGGAGTGTGTTGGTTATTTAGAGATGCATAAAAGCCATAGAAACCATCAGCATAAAAGCCATAGAAACCACCAACACCAAAACAGTGGGCTTGTAATATCTGGTTAGTTGATTTCTTTCCTCTGTAGCAAACATAGCTTACAAACAAGGGAACCCAGGGTAAGGGACTAAAGGAGAACTTAAGTATGAATGTCCTTCCTTACCAATACAGTGCTATAATTAGTACAGAGCAACAGCACCATCAAGCTCCAGCTGAACAATTACATCCCAAGAAATTCAACCAACAAGTATCATATTCTAAACAGTCGCATCTCTGTGGTAATACTTACGTATGCACCAGTGCCATCTAGCCAATCCCCAGCGTATGTCACTTCTTCTGCTAAGCGAACCATGAAACCCTTGTTTAACAAATAATGTGTTTTACATGCTTGGAGAAATTTATAGAACAAATTATTTAAAAAATTATGGATTTATGACAGTGATACTGTAATCAATAAACTGAGAAAATTTGCAGTGAAATCTGTCAATTAAATGTTATTACTTTGGCCATATAAACTGTCCAGAGCTGGCTGTCTACCCAATGGCCCTGTCATCATCAAAGCTGTCCTGATGTGATGTCCAGAGAAAGTTAGAGAATCCAGCTGTCTGTGGAATAACTTTCAGAGACAATAAACATAGAAATTCAAGGAATTTCCATTGAACTAAGCCAACTACTAATTACTAAAAAAGCTAGTATCTCTATCTAGGGGCATTACGCGTCCTGAGAAAGCTGCAGTCTCAAAGCTACAAATATGCAGACCTCCATCCAAGCAAGAGTATTTTGCATGTGTCAGTTT